GTAATGGTAGTGGTAGTGGTGGTGGTGGTGGTGGTGGTGGTGGTGGTGGTGATGGTAGAAGCAACAGTGGCAGCCGCATCCGCGGCAGTAGAAGTAGACAATATTGCTCGACACCTAGCATGCCATCAGGGAATCGTATGTCGAACAGGCGTAGAACTCTAAAGCCTAGACCCGTCCAAGATTGCTCCAGCGGCCTTTTAGGGCTTAGGGCTCGGGAACATTGACGTTAGGCCCTAAACCCTAAACCACGCCTGGGCTTGCCAGGTTTTGGAGACAGTCCCGAGAGCCAAAGATCCGAACCACCAAAGCCTAAGGGCTCCGGACCTTTAAACTTCCAGGGTTCCTTCAGGAGCTTGTAAAAGGGATCTACGAGGTTTAGGCTTCGTTTAGAGGCCTGTATAAGGGATCTATGGGGGGTTGAGGGTCCCGGTAGAGGCTTGTATAGGGGATCGATGGGTCTAGGGCCTAGGGTTCCTTTAGGGGCTTGTAACTTGTACAAGGGATCGATGGGGTCCAGGGCTCTTCACAAACTTTTAAAGGGATCTAGTGGGTTCAGGCCTTTGGGGTGGAAGGATGTAACACCTGACTAAAGGCCAGCACAAGCTCTGAACCTCGACACTCGGGCTCCAGAAACCCAGCAAACCTCGCTGCATGAACTTCAACCAACGCGGGAATCTTCGAGACGCTGAGAATCCGGAACACTTCTAAGTCCTTGCCACCGCTGGAGCCCAGGGGTGATGTAGAGCTTAAAGCGGGCAACCTCGGTCAAAGGTTACAATGATTACTTGCTCCATAGCCCCTCATGCCTGAAACCTAAACTCGCCTGAACCAGAAGCAAGCTCTACACTTACCTCTAAACCTTAAGCTTTAAGCTCTAAGCTCTTGCGAGGTTTTGAGGAGATTGGCTTCGAGGGCTTGGGTCCTCGGTGGCAAATGAACAGCTCGAATTCGGTCCTTATGTGGGTTTTAGGTTCAGAATCTGAGTTGTGGGATCGTTGCTTTCCTCTTTTGTGTGACGGGTCAGCATCACAATGCCAGTGATATCGTTGCTGGTGGTATGCGCCTTAAGAAGAATACTGCTTCCAACAAAATAACTTCCTACACTCTTGGAGGGTGCATGCAAACCCCATATGAAGGCCCAATAGGTCGATCCCTTTTACCCTTCTCAAGCCTTCAAAGTTACTGAGTCACTGAGACCCTCTTTCAGCTCTCTCCGTTCCTGTGTCCTCAACTCCTAAGGTCCTAAACCCTCAACTCCTAAGGTCCTAAACCCTAACACCCCTTACTTCCGCCCCAAAACCAGAGCCACAGCTTCATGTGTACAAGTCCAGGCGCTTTCCACGCGGTTTTCGAAGCTCGCGGACCTCTTCGGCCCGGCTCAGGGTTCGGAGTTTTAGGGTCTAGTTAGGCTTTAGGGTTCAGGTTCCTCAGAACTTTTGAAGTAAAGCTTGTACAGATGATACATCTAGTACAAGTATAGAAGGGCTAGCTCACACTACATGTCGATGACAAAGGATGAAGGAGCTTTCTTCTGCTTGGCATTTGGGGACAGAGGATGTCTCGATAAGACAGGAGTCGTCTGGATCCTTATGAAGAGAAGAGAGAGAGTTCTATTTGGGAGAAAGAAGTAAATGAGCCGCCTCTTTTATCCTCAGCGGATCTCGAAAGCGGTCGAACAGCATGCACGCACTTGTTGTACCACGTGAGATTCTTATCATCGTGCAATGTCCGCATGTGTCATGTATGTATGTATGTATGTATGTATGTATGTATGTATGTATGTATGTGTGTATGTATATATGTACGTAAGTCTGCGGGTATGTATGTAGGTAAACACATATGTTTACTATATATATATATATATACATAGATGAAAATATAATATATATATATATATATATTATGTATCTACGCATGTCTCTTTCCCCTTATATTCAACTCAGCTCTTTTCTATTCGCTGACAGTATATATTACAGTCTAGCATAGTATAGTACAGTACAGCGCATTATAGTATGTTTGCAAATACATCGCTTTGTTCAAACTCGGGGCCCGAAATGACCCAACATGGGACCCAAGCCATCGTAGGGTTTACAGTTTAAGGTTTAATTCAAGAGAGCTAAAGTTCATCGTCCCAGCCCAACCGTAGTGACCCCTCAACTTTCAATCATAAAACCTTAAGGAATTTGGGAACTTGCAATTTCCACCACCCGTCACCTCCTCTGGAGCTTCGTCTTGCTGCTGGGTCTTGCCGACCTGCTTTGACCGCTGGTCTTGGTCTACGGGCTCTAGGGGCCAGGGGTTTAGAGCTCAGGGCTTTCCGAAAATAACTAGGGCCTCGTCTTGGGGTTGATGATGGGGCTGGGGGCTTCAAGAAATCAGCTTCCGTGCTGTGAAACCCTGCAATCTCCAGGTGCTTGGGATTTCAGGTGGCACTCCTCATGGTCGTAGCTCCTCAACTTAAAGGACCCGGGAAACATTTCAGAAGAAGTGGTGCCGGACAGCAGCCATCAGAAGCTTTCAGCAAGACCAACTGATAAGACACCAGCCTTGTTACAATTTGACAAATTGCGTGTATCAGCGAGTCGTAGTTCAGCAACCCAATGGCCCAGATGTGTATAGTACTCCGTATGGCAATCCTCATGGTAATCCTTGTAGTAACCCTCAGAAAGAACAATATGCGGTTCAGATTATCGTTGCAGGAAACCCCAAGCTCCAAACCCCAAGTGGCAGAGCCACCTAACCTCCAGGACTGAAGTTCTTTCAGATGCATGGACCGGAACTCTTCTGATTCTGCCTAGCTGCGCCTAGTTTCTATAACCTGAACCCTACACCCTAAAACCCCCAACCCCTAAACCCCAAACGAAACACCAAAATATACGGGACATCCGACCTCCTCTTTCTTTTCCTCCGGCACCCGGGAGCCCGGTGCAAATTCAGGCCCTCTGCCTCAGTTGCATTCGGGCTCCGCGTCCTTAAACTTTGATACATATACATACATACATACATACATACATACATACATACATACATACATACCTTTATGTGTATATATATATATATATATGTACACGTATATATGTATAGATGTGTATGTATATATGTATGTATATACATATGTATGCATGCGTGTATGTATGAAGGAAGATAACTATACATAGGGTTGCTGTGAAGTAGTACTGAATCTGAAGCTATAGACATCTATAGACTCAGTTTTGATCGTAAGGCATTGTATCGTGCCAGCTGTGAAGTTTACGTTGTAGATTCAGAGAGCTCTCCTGACAGAGAACGCCCTGATGTTCTACGGTTTAGGGCCTAATGTTTAGGAGGTAAGGGGTTTATGCTCATTTTTCTTAGTGTGTGCGCTTTATGACCATAGCTGTTCTTCTGACCATAACCGCCTTCCTAACTTGCTTTGAAGGACGGGTTGACAACTCCTGGTGGCAGCAGCAGCAACAAGACAATCCATTTTGGCCCCACATGTCCTCTGCCTGTTGGCCCGGGCCCTTCGCAGTTGCACTCAAAGCCCATGCTTTTGACTCGCAACATCTCGCAAAAGCCAAGATCCTGGCTGCACCTCACTTCGGGTATGTGACAAGGTAACTTCCCAACATAGTCAGATGAATGGTTTAACCTTGCATCTTATGGCCGAGAGCCCAGAACCATAAAGCCCGACACTCGATAGTACCACATATAAGCATTACATTACAGGCCCCAGCCCAAGAACCCAGGGGCGCCTGGCCTTTGTGTGCTGTGAGGTGGTCGTGTCCACCCACGACGGTGCTCAGCGCGCTCACCACGGCGGCCTCAGCTGTTTCGGCTGTGGGTTTAGGGTTTCGGGTTTAGGGCTTCAGGCGGAGAATTTGGGTCTCAATAGCTAGAATCGGGCTTGGAGACTTCGGTCGCTTACAGCGTTGAGGATTTTTGGAGCTTAGGGTTTAGGGTGGCCTGAGCGTCTCACATGACTTTGAGGAAACCTTGACCCCAACAGCTTCAAAGCCTCAAGGTTGAAGCCTTCTGTATACCCTAAACTCGAAAACCCTACATAATACATCCCAAAAACCCGACTCAAAGCCCTAAGCCGTAAATCCCCAAGCCAGGCAAGCCTACACCCTCTTTCTTGTCTCTCTCTCTCTCTCTATTTTGTCTCTCTGCACACACACACATTATATATGTATGATTATACAGACATTATACACAACAGGTGTGTGTGTGTATATATATATATATGTGATACACGGCTTGGAGCTTGAACAAGCCGGAACTCGAAATCATTTCGGGCTTCGGATAACCCGGAAACCTAAACCCTAAGCTTCGATGTTCAGCCGCGCACTCCAGCCCCGCCGCCAAATGCGCGCGTTCGGTCACTACGTTCGCCTGCCCAGGGTGCGGAAAGGCCAAATGGGGGGGGGGGGGGGGGGGGTTCTCAGAACTATAGACACCAGGTTTTGAGGTCCCTAC